GGACAAGTGAAGATAAAGTGGTCTAAATTTTTTGTTTATACTGTAGTATACATTTGGAACAATGGGAAAATAGTGGTTGAAAGGATTTAAATTTATATTATGTGATAATCTTAAAGAAAAAAATATAAAATGTATTTTTTGTATATGTAACTAGATAAATTATTTAGAAAGTATAACAGCACTTTAAATTGATGTTCAAAATGTGAACAAGAAAGGAGATTTTATAATGTTTGGTGGTAAAAAAGCTAGAAAATTCTGGATTCAAATAACATACACTGGTTAAGAGGACTTTAAATACAATTGATGCCAGAGGTTTTTCTTTGGGGATTAATGGTCAAATAGCTGGAAAAAAGTGATGGAACTTGTTTTGGTACATGATAACTGCAGTGAGATTATTGTATAAACAAAGCTGGAAAGATTTAGCATTATAAGTAGTCCTTAACTTACACCATAACTGAGCCCAGAATCATGGTCATAAGTCATGGTCATTAAGTGACCATCTTGCTTAATAACCACAATCCCTGCTCTCCACACTGTGATTGTTAAGCAGAGCGTGGGGTGCCTTGGCAGGGTGGGAGAAGCCATGGGAGGCCTGGCACAGAGCCACATTACAGCACCTCCCAAGCTCATATGTGACTTTCCCAAAACCTTCCCCTATCCCAAAGCATTCCTTGCACAGGTTCCCACCCCAATGGATCCCACATGCTTGGCCTCCTTCATGGCTTACTCCAATTTTCCTTTTTGGAAGAAGAATTGGCAAATTCACTGCTCAGCCTTCTAATACAGAAGCCTCATAGTATTGTTCCCGAAGTGAGGGCCATTTTGGGAATGGCCACAATTCTCAGATCTCAAGAACTACAGCCACCTCCAAAACATTGCCCACTTCCAGGATAACACCATATAATCTCTATATAGGAAGGTGATCCTTGGAAAAGGTAACTGAAGTGAGGTGTGACAGGAGGCCAAAAGGTACGGGACCTAGTGGGGAGGGAAGCAGGCTCAAGGCCTGTGGGACCCAGACAGGTGGGTGACAGGCCCAAGGACCCAGCAGGATGGGATGGAGGGTAAGATAGGCTGCAGGAGCTGCAGTGTCTCTACAATCAGTCTAAGGGTGGATAGATTTTCAAGCACTCACATTTTGTTCTTGTGACCATGCAGTGGCCATAACTTCAGATACAGGTCATAAGTCTCTTTGTTCAGTGCCATTGCAATTTTGAACACAAATGATCATAAGTCGAGGACTACTTGTACCCACAATGGAGGAATAGGTGATGAAAATGAAAATGATAGAACTTACTGAAAAGGCTAAACCTGTCCGCTCTGATCAGAGAAAAGACAGTATCTACATTTATTCCTGACTGGAAAACCCCCCTTACTGATATTTTGCATGAAAAAGAAAAAAAATGAACTTTACACTTTATTGTTTTAAAGATTAGATATAATATGTTATAGAAAGAGGAGGTAAACTTATAAATGTACTTATCAGTGTTGTAAAGAAAATCAGAAATTATTTCTTTATATCTTTTTTCTATTTTTCTGTTGCCCTTCTAGCTTTCTTTTAATTTTTCTTCTCTATTTTTTCTTTTTATTATTTTATATTAATTCATATTAGTTTTGATTCTTTTTTAAAACCATTAATAAAATTGTATTACTTAAAAAGAAATTAATTAGGTAAAAAGATGGGTAATGAATTCGTATATTTTGAAGGAAAAAGAATTTATTGTACAGACTAAAAGGGAAATGGATTATTTCTTTAAAGAAAACACAAAAGAACAAACATCGGTACAAATTATTTGGGATACAGCGAAGGCGTATTTAAGGGGATTGGCGATAGCTTATATAGCAAGGAAAAATAGAGAGAAAAGACAAAGGCAAAACATACTACATGAAGAGATTAAAAAATTTGAATCCAAACTACAAAAAGAGCCACAGGATGAATCGATTAAAGTGGGAATGGCATTAGCCAAACATAAATTAAATATGATGGAACAAGGAGAAAGAGTTAAAGAATTGAAATTGGCGAAACAAAAATTTTTTGAACATGCAAATAAACCTGGGAGATGGCTCTCTTATAAATTAAAAAAAGAGAAAGAGGGAAAAATAATTCAGGAAAGTTATGATAGAAATGGAGAGTTACAATATAAAATGGATGAAAAAAAAGAAATAATTCAAGCCTACTTTGAGTCATTATATAAAAAAGATGAAATAGATGGGGAAAAGATTAAACAATATTTGAAAGTTAATGGTTTGCCAGAATTAAAAGAAGGACAAAGAGACATACTGAATGGGAAAATAACAGCTATGGAATTAAAA